AACCTTCTCCACTAAAGGCGAAACATTTAATTCCGGGATCGAATATTAAGCAAACGGCGATGCAAATGTTAACTTTAGCATATTCGATTCCGTTTATTATTCGTGACATTGTGGAGACAGACTGTCTATATTTTTCCAACTTTAAAAACCTGTTGGAAATAACAACTATTGTTTCTGGATACTCCATCAGTTCTGAAATGATTCAGTACGTTGCAGACAGTAGTATTGCAGAATATTTAAATGATTACGCCATTTTATACGGAACTGATGACGAAAATGCAAAGTTGGTGCCAAAGCATCACTTTTTAACACATTATCCGCGATTAACAACCATATTTGGTCCGTTGGGGTATTACATGTGTTTACGTGCTGAAGGAAAACACCAGCAGTCGAAACGTAGAGTGCAAGGAATGCGCAACTACAAGAATTTACCTTACACGTTAGCAGTGAGACACCAATATTGGCAAACTTTGCAACTCCTTGGACATCTAGAAAAAAGTGTTATAACAGGTCCTACAAAACTTGAAGCCACTGAGACACTACCATTTTATGCCTTATTTCCCGAGGAAGCATTGCAATGCACTACAAAGTGGGCAAATTTTAATGGTGTCAAGTATATTTGTGACAAGTGCTTAATTGCTGTAGGATACGAAAATGTTACTTGTTTACCACAATTTGCAGCACTTCACAAAATTTTAAGAAGAAATGCGGAAATTATTTTTATTTGCAAAAAAGTGGAGTCGATAGAGTACAACACCGACTTAATGAGTTATGAAGTGAGGATTGGCAGTGAATTTATTGCTGTTAATCCTAAAAATTTAATTAACCACAAAGTATTCCACACTCATAAATCACTCATAAAACTGTTTGTCACAGTGAAAAGTTGCTTTGGTAACTTATATTAGACGCTGTGTGTACCAGAAAAAAAGGAAAACTGTTAAAAAAAATTCAAATCATTTAACGTTCAAGTTAATTATTTTAATTGTATACCATTCTTTTATATTATTGCTTTATGTTAACATGAAAATAGAATCTACTTTGCTTAACAATTTTGTTGTAATAAGAACATTAATTTCCGAAAGTGTGTATAATTATTTAATCCATATTGCAATTTAATCCATCCGTACCAAAACATCTACAATTTAAAAACTATTTATTTCAATAGATTTTGATATTTTTTAGATATTTTTGGAAATATAATGTAATATAAAATGTAATACATGGGTGATTCTCCGCGTAGCGCAGAACTTGGTTTTTTTATGTTGTAATGGAAAAATAATAAATAATTTTCATATATTTTTAGAATTCCAACGTGAAAAGGTTATCTATATGTTTAGAAACAAAAACCAATAATTACTTTTGTATCTTATATTATAATTTTTCATAAATAAGCGGTTTTAAGGCTAAAAACGTCAAAATTTTACCTGTCCCCACAGGAAGTTTAGAAAAAAAAGTTAATAATTTTAGTAATATGCAATAATAAATACAATTATTATTGACATTTTAGTATCGTCTACTTTAGTACAGTTGAATACAAAAAATTTTAAAAAAAGAATTAATTTTATATATGTTTTTTTCAGTTTATGCTTGACAGCAAATTTGGATGCTATTCATTATTTTATTAACAAACAGTGAATTATTTAAATGAAAATCAAACGTTAACTTTAAATTACTTTTGTAAACACAAAAAATAACTTCCTTAAGTTAATTCAGGAAAAAGAATCAATGTTCTAATTGATTTATTCATTTTTCACTCATTTTAAGTTGGAAATTTGATAAGGGAATCACAAAATAATCTCCACCGACCCTTAAATATTTTACCACAAATTAAACAATTATTTATAAAAAAAAGGTTAAATAAAGCGTAGTTATATTGTTTTGGTCAATACGAATGAGATCCACTTTAAACCGATTGAAAGTTAATGATACTTTTTTCAAAAAATTAAAATATCCAAAGTCGGTTGAAAAAGTTCCCACCAGGGGTGCTATTCTGTAACTTCACTTTCACTCCACATTAACTTCACATTCACTTCACACTCACTCGACATTCACTTCACTTTCACTTTACATTCACTTCACTTTCACTTCACTTTCACTCCACATTTCCTTCACTGTCACTCCACATTAACTTCACATTCACTCCACATTCACTTCACTTTCACTCCACATTAACTTCACATTCAGTCCACATTCCCTCCACTTTCACTTCACATTCACTTCACATTAACTTCACATTCACATGTAAAGTGTCTATATTTGTTCACTTTACATGTGAATGTGAAGTGAATGTGATGTGAATGTGTATGTGAAGTAAATGTGATGTGAATGTGAAGTTAATGTAAAGTGAATGTGAAGTGAATGTAAAGTGAATGTGGAAGGAATGTAGAGTGAATTTGAAGTTAATGTGGAGGGAAAGTGAAGTGAATGTGAAGTGAAAGTTAAGGTGAAGTGAAAGTGAAGTAGATGCGAAGTGAATGTAAAGTGAATGTGGAGTGAATTTAAAGTGAATGTGAAGTGAATGTAAAGTGAATGTGAAGTTACTGTAAAGTGAATGTAAAGTGAATGTGGGGGGAATGTGTAGTGAATGTGAAGTTAATGTGGAGTGAAAGTGAAGTGAGTGTGAAGTGAATGTGAAGTTAATGTGGAGTGAAAGTGAAGTGAATGTGGAGTGAATGTGAAGTGAATGTGAAGTTAATGTAGAGTGAATGTAAAGTGAATGTGGAGGGAATGTGGAGTGAATGTGAAGTTAATGTGGAGTGAATGTAAAGTAAATGTAAAGTGAAAGTGAAGTGGATGCGAAGTGAATGTAAAGTGAAAGTGAAGTGAATGTGAAGTGAAAGTGAAGTGAATGTAAAGTGAAAGTGAAGTGAATGTAAAGTGAATGTGAAGTGAATGTGGAGTGAATGTAAAGTGAATGTGAAGTGAATGTGGAGTGAATGTGAAGTGAATGTAAAGTGAAAGTGAAGTGAATGTGAAGTGAAAGTGAATGTAAAGTGAAAGTGAAGTGAATGTAAAGTGAATGTGAAGTGAATGTGGAGTGAATGTAAAGTGAATGTGAAGTGAATGTGGAGTGAATGTGAAGTGAATTGTGAAGTGAAAGTGAACTGAAGTTACAGAATAGCACCCCTGCCTGAGTTTCCACCGACCTCAGAATTTCCACCGACCTTCGTATTACGAAGAACCTAGTGCAAATGTAGTGTTATGGTGCCACATATAAAATTTTTATAAATTACCGCAAAAATTTCCATAAATTACCGAAATAAAAATTTTCAATTGTGATTTCTACTTTGCATATTTTTAAAAATTACCGACAAAATTTCTTTAAATTACCTTACAAATTGCCATAAATTTCCATAAATTAACAAAATCCAAATTTTTAATAATAATTGAAATTTTACATATTTTTATGAATTATCGCGAAAATTTCCATAAATTTCCATAAATTACCAAAATAATAATTTTTAAATGAGATTTACTCTATAATATTGTTTAAATTACCGCAAAATTTTTTTGACAGAATGTGTCCAAACAGTGAATTAGTTGATTACCACACTTGTTTACAACAAAAATTATAAATAATTTTTCCGACCCGCTATGGATTTTTCTTCTTAAAGCCTTTATCTTCAAAAAAATATATTGATAATAACCATACCGATAAATTTTTTTTTTTTAATTTCATAAACCAAATCGTGCGCTACGCGGAGAATCACCCACATACATAATGATATTAGTTTCTATAAATGTGATTTATTAATAACACTAATATGTTTACTAATAATAATGTTTTAATATTTGTTAATAATATGGAATTGTATGGATAATTAAAAAAAACTATCAGCTGTAAGCAACTTTACATATTTTATTTACTGCACTGTAAAAAAAGAGCGTCTTGGTTTAAGACGTTTACGTGGTCACATTGAAGACGTTTATAAGCGTCTTATTTGCCTTCTAAAATGCATGTATTTGGAGGTTATGTTTTTCATTTAAGACGCTCAAATAAGACGCTTATTTACATAAGACGTTTATAAACGTCTAAACGTCTTACTTTTAGACGCCATTTTTTGCAGTGTGTTATCTTGCTTTAGCAGGGAGATTTTTTATTCTTTTGTTTATATTATTTATTGTAAAAACGGAAAAGAGCGCGCCTCAGTGAGCCTTCCTCCATCTCTCCTCCAAATATGAACCAGAAATATTTTATCCTCTCGAAATAAAACGTCAATTCCAAACAGTAGAAAATCCCTTTTATTGAATGTTTGAATTTGAATTCACTGACTCTCTTACTCTTGTACGTTACCATAACAACCTGCAAGCAGACAGGCTGCAGACGTCTGAACGCTCCATAATGAGAAAGAGAAAGAAAAACATATACTTATATCCTTGTTACATTCAGGGTGGAGTCCCATGGCATCGTTTTGCGTTGTGTTTTGTAACTAGGCCATGAGTGCAAATATATCGAACACATATCTCCATCTCTCTCTCACTCATGGTCTACACGGAAAAAAAAGTACGTGAAATTTTCCTTGGAAGTGTTTGATTTTTGGATAGGACAAAATTTCTAGACTACATCATATACTTTTTATTAGAAAATATAACAAAATCAAGAAAATAATGAAAAAAGTCATAGAATTAGGGTGGAGTCCCATGGCACCGTTTTGCGTTGCGTTTTATAACTAGGCAATGAGTGTGAGATAGATGGAGATATACGTTTGCTATATTTGCACTCATGGGCTAGTTATAAAACGCAACGCAAAACGGTGCTATGGGACTCCAGCCTTATATAGCAAAACGCAGCGTTCGAACGCAAACATATACACACATCCTGAGCCGTTGTGAAGCGTCCCTCAATGGAGATATTGTTTATCCTTCTCTAACTCATTTTACGCTTATGGTGCGATCCCATGAGAGCAGAATACGTCGACCGAAAGCAGAAAATCATGAGTGCAAAAGAGATAGGTAGATATTGTTGTTCTTTTCACTCTCATAATTTTCTGCTTTCGGTCGACGTATTCTGCTCACATGGGATCGAACCCTTACGGTTACGATTGCGGTTCCGGTTACAGATCTATTCTGCGTTGGCCTTAAAGCAACCTACGCAACGCAGACTTTTCGGAACCTATTGGAAGAGGCCTTAACGAAAATTTTCTATTGCGGAGTCAACCTTACATACAACCTATAACGGATATATTTTTTCAAATATAATAAGCCATTATTGAAGTCTGCTGTCATTAATATATTGTTTACTCGTGAAGTTTGTGTTGAAAAAATAATAAAAACAAAAAGAAAAAAGTTGAGGATATCGTAAATATTATATTAACAAAAATGTTTCTTTATATCACAGGTAATATTTATAAGTTAATAGTGCATTATGAGTTTTGAAGATATAGAAATTAACGAGAAGAAAAATATACTGCCGAGTCATAGTTTTGCAATAGTCAATTCCACTTAATGCACATTATATTTATTAAGAATTAATTTAATTAAATATTCTTTTAAGAACAAACAAATAATGTCAAACATCGACAGCCGGGGTATTAAACGCGGCAATTGTTCTTGTGGCGAATGCGATGAGTTCACCGTACACGTGGGTGCTGCTTCTTCAATGATTTGTGGCTATTGTGGTTGCTTCCCAACAAAGCACGCAAAATTAGGTAATATTAATGTGTTATCTATGAAACAATTTGCTTCTTAAGGTAAAATTGCACTAGAAAAATTATATTTTTATTTATTGAAAATAAACCACCGAATAAAATGTACACGTCATGCTTTTTAACAGATGAGAAGAATTCGAATGAAAATTTTGGTTCGACTGTGCACACCTCTGACAACGGTATTCAAGGCGCGGAAAAGGAAATAGTTTTTTCCAAAAATACAACAGATGACACTGAAGAAGATCGAGTTGAAAATATAGGAGTGGATATTGAAGATGATAATCAATCAAACTCGTCATCAATAATCGAAGAAGGTAATGTACAAGTTTACGAATTTAATCGTAAATTTTTTAATTAATTGATCCTCTTTAAACAATTATTTGCATGTAAATAATTTTTTGTTTGGTATTAATAAAATAAAATTAATTTATGTTTATTTTAGAACACAATGAGAACCATAGTGAGAACGATTATTCCAATCTTCCAGAAGAAGTCCAAAATCAACTGGTAAAGCAATCTAAACTATGTTAATGTATAAAAAGCTTATAGTGACATTTAATTTCCTGCAGAGGCGATAATTATTAGTCCAAAAAAATGGTTGAAAAAATTTTCAAGATTGCCACAGGTCAGAGAAATTAGAGAATTCAGGGAAAAGTCAGGGATTTTTATTAAAGTACTGAAAAAATTAAATTTGCAGGATTCATAATTAGATTTATTCTATTTTTTAATACATATATTTTTTTTTTTTTTTGCTTAGGGAATTTTGGGAAATCTGCCTACAGATACCTTGGATTCCGCACTCCAAGGTTATGTGGGGTTAGTGTGATAAAACAAAAGGAAATATAAAAAAGAAAAATAAATATATAAAATAGTAAATTTAATAAACTGGCGACCTACTGCCAGCCCGACCCACTAAAACCCGTAACCCTTCTTCTGGAGCCCTTTACCCTCCCTCGGAACTGTCGTAAGAGTTTAGCCTTCGAGGGTGGCGCTTCAACTCTGTCGCTAATGCGACCTTCTGCTTTTCTCTGCGGTTATCCTGCGTTAATAGTTAAAAATTTAAAACTATTTCAATATAAAGCGGAATTAACAGCACAACAATAATTAAAAATAACAAATGTGTAATTAAGTGTAAAAAGTCAGAAGATAAAATTATAAACGGATATATAAAAAAAAGAAAAAATATACGCGTATAAAATATTGAAAACATAAAACTGTACAAAGATGAATAAAAAAAACACAAACAATTAAAAAATGTATAAGGACAAATAAATCACAAAATAAATTAATAAAATACAAACGTACAAAATTAAAAGCTGTTTAAATTACGCTTTTTGGCGGCCGTCGAGATCCTTCCTCGACATAACCGAGATTATGAAGTTCTCGACTTGCCGCCAATTCTCTTCCGACTGGGTCATCAGCGATACCATGTTCTTCGGTGTAACTTGACTATTTACACCTTCGAACATGGCCCGCCTCTCCAAGTCCCATTTTCTGCATGAGAAGAGGGTGTGCTCCGCGTTGTCCTCAGGGAACTGGCAATATGCACACACCTCGTCCTCGCGTAATTTAAAGCGACACAGGTACGAGTTAAAACACCCGTGACCTGTGAGCGTCTGAGTCAAATAATAGGAAACCTGACCGTGTTTCCTATTTATCCAGGTGGCGAGTGCCGGGATAAGGCGATAAGTCCATCGACCTTTTTCCTCACCATCCCATCTTTCTTTCCATCTTTCTATGAGCCTGTGCCTCGCTTCTTTGCGGATCAGGCCCTTGCTTGGTCTTATTTCCTCATCTAAGGAACTTCTTTCTTTAGAAAAGAGAAACATTTCTTCCCTTTCCCTCGCCAAAAGATCTGCTGGCGGGACACTTGCAAGGACCTGCACAGCACTCGTAGATACCGTCTTATATGCAGAGATGATACGCGTTGTTATCGATCTCTGTGCCGACAGTATCTTTTCACAGATGGTCACACAGCTTTTGCACCTCAGGGATGGGGCCCACGCTGGTGCTGCATAGAGCATTTTAGCGTGGGCGACACTTGCCACCAGTCTCCGTTTGTGTTCACGGGGTCCGCCTACATTTGGCATTAACCGTGAAAGATTAGCCGCACACTCGATCGCCTTATTTGACGCCGTAGCCATGTGGTGGTGGAAGTTTAACCTTCCATCCAACTCCACACCAAGATATTTAATTTGCTCACTCCAATTGCCCTCGAATCCGTCTATCACGATTCGTGGGAGCTCATAACCACGTCTGTCTGTGACCAGCAGTGCCTCGGTCTTTCCCAGGGCCATTTCAAGACCTCTGGTATCCAGCCAGCTTTTTGCTAGTCGCAGACATTCGTTCACCAATGTCCCAAGAGCCTCCTTACTTTCGGCAGTGCACACGAACAACGCGTCGTCCGCAAAGCCGATGATCACCGCACCTTCGGGTAGATCCATTCGCAGAAAATCATCGTAAGATACATTCCATACAAATGGACCCACCCTCGAGCCTTGAGGAGCCCCACGCTGCATCTCTTCCTTGAGAGTGCAGGTGTCTCCCTCATATATAACCCACCTGTCGCTAAGATAATTATCCGTTATCCGCAACAAGTAGGGCGGCATGTTTTTCTTTTCCATCGACTCGATGAGATCTTTCCATCTTGCGGAATTAAACGCGTTGCGTATGTCAATTGCTACCAACGCGCAGAAGCTCTTCTTTTTTCCGGGTCCCAACTTGTTTTTTCCTGCTTTGGCTATGTCCACAACTGCCTGGATGGCATCAACTGTGGACTTGCCTTTACGGAAACCAAATTGGTGATCCGATAGACTATTCTCTCCGGTCAAGTGGCTTTGCATTCTCTGCAGAACCATATCCTCTAGAAGTTTGCCCATCGTATCTAGCAGGCATATAGGCCTGTATGATGAGACTTTATCTAGAGGTTTTTCACCTTTCCTCAGGAGGACTAACCTCTGTCGCTTCCAGTCGCGGAAGAACTCTCCTCTCTCAAGGCAAAGATTGTAGCATCGAAGCAGAATCTGGGGTGAAGTGTCGATTACCAACTTTAGGATCTCGTTACTTATCCCATCGATTCCAGGCGCCTTGCCTGTTTTCAATCTTTTGCCTGCTTTTTGCAGTTCACTAAGTGTGAAGAGTTCTTCCTCTTCGACTTTGCAAAAACTCCAGGCCCTTCTAAGGTATGGTTCTGCAGGAGGAAACAAAGAACTTATTATCTTTCTGACCCAATCAGGATTGTCCAGGCCGGGGGTCTTTTGCCTCGTCGCTAATTTCTTAGTCACGATTTTAAAAGCCAGACCCCATGGGTCCTTATCGACTTCCTCGATTAGGTCCTTCCAGCTACGGCGTCGCGACTTGCGGATCTCTTTCTTGAGGTCCTTTTTCGCCTCCTTGAAAGCCTCTTTCAGCAAGGGATCTCCTTTAGATCGGGTATATGTCCTTCTTGCTTTGAGGCATTCCTTTCTCAAGGAGGCTAGCTCCTCTGACCACCAGTGCAACGATTTTCTTACGGGAGTGGCGCCTTTGCGTGGCATTGACGCATTGCAAGCAGTGACTATCATGTTCCTCACCGCTCGCACCTCCCCATCCAGACTGCTCGGCCTCTTCACCCAGCCCAAGTCCTCAATTAAAAGGGCTTCTCTTAGGGACCGGCCGAACTTTTCCTTGTCGAGTCTCTTCATATTCCACGAGGAGGTTTTGCGACTAGGAGCATCCTGTCTTTTTCCTCCTCGTGTGTCTCCCATCGAGACTGAGAACTCAATGTACTGGTGGTCACTTGCGGTATATTCCTCAGAGACCCGCCAGTCGGTTATGCGGCTAAATAGTTTAGACGATGCGATTGTTAGATCTATAATTGATATGATCGCACCTCGTCTAAAAGTCCATGTATTGCCTCGGTTTACTGACAATAAGTCGTTTCTGGAGATCATTTCTCCAATACGAATTCCTCTCTTGTCGAGTCTCGTCTCACCCCACTCTGGCGACTTTGCGTTAAAATCACCAGTGATGATGACATCCAGCCTGGATTCTGTGAGGCTCGCTTCTAGGTCTTCGATATTGGCTTCGAAGTTTGTCAGTGGGTCGTTGGGTGAGAAGTAGCAGCTATACATACGTATATTAGCCACCTCTATCCACACGAACCCACTGCTCGTCTCCAGAAACTTGTCAACCCGCAATTTTGGGTTGCACAGCTTTATGGCGGCTCTCTTCGCCTTATCCTGATACCAAGGGGGCGAGGTCGCTTCCTTGATACTGCTCACTGCAGAACAGGATATCGACCTCATTTTCCCTTGCTGTTTGCATTAGGAGCAACTGTGCATCCTTACTTGTATGCAAGTTGACCTGCAAAAATTTTAAGGATTTGCCCTTTTAATCTTTTGCAGTTCTTCTCTGTAAACCGGGCAGGCTCTCTTTCCGGAATCGTGATCCGTCTCTGGCTTCCCCAGGTCCAAGCACGTAAGGCACTTCGGCTTAACTTTACAGCTCTTCGCGAGGTGTCCCTCTCCGCCGCATCTCCGACAGTTTTTACTTCTGTCGGGGCCTTTGCAGGTTCGGGTTGAGTGTCCGTATGCTAGGCACTTTTGGCACCTAGCTACTTCAACATGCTCGCGAATTGGAGCATTTATCCAGCCGATTTTTATTTTACCAAGCTTTAGCAGAGTGTTACTTTCTGCCTCTGTCAGACGTACCAGAGCAACCTTAGTTCCTCTGTAGCGCGGCAAAAGTCGACACTCCATCTTCAGGTCGGGTTTACCCAGCTTTTGTCTTAGTGCTGCAGTTACCTCATCCTCTGAGGTGGCTTCGTCCAAATCCTTAATCTCTAGAGACCTTTTATTCACTAGAGGTGTGACCTTAGCTTTACCATGCAGGGCCGAAGACAGTGCATCTGCAAATTTTAAGGTCTCTCCGCCCTTTTTCACTATCACGAGAACCTCCTGTTTAAAAGTTCTCCTGATTTTCCGGATCACGGTACCCGTATCTTCTGGGTTTACCTTTGCTTTTATTAGCGGCAAGATACCCTCATAAAACTTTGGGTCGCTTGCCGTAATTTTAACAGCTTCCGTGCTCCTTAGCTTCAAAGGGGGCTTCGGAAGCTCTTTTTTCTCACCTGAGGGTTTCTCTTTTGGAGTCCGTTTCTTTTTGTTTTTAACAACTTTGAAACCGTCTCCATTGTCCGCTCCGTCCCTCAAGACGGTCCCAGCATACGACTTGCCAGGACTGTTTGAGGGCGCCTCTTTTGTTCCAACTAGCGACTCAGAACCAAGCTGTGGAGCCTCCTTTCGCTTAATTCTCTTCCCGCCTTGAGTCGCCCGTCGCGGACTCGCATCTGGGCTTGCACCTTCCCTGGGGCGTTTATTAACGCCTTTTGCCTTATTAGGACATGTCGTTGCGCCGTTCAGAGGTGCAGTAGTGCTCTTCGTCTGCTGTGGAGCTACCACAGTTGGGTGTTGCGGCTCTTGGTCTTTGAAAGGCTTGGGGATAAAACGTAAATTCTTACAGATTATGTCAAACGCACCTTCCAAAACCGTCACGCCATCCTGGATTTCACGACTGACGTTCTTTTGGCGCTTGAATCCTTGGCGCAAGCTTTTGAAAATTCCCGGAATAGCCAGGAACTGGTCTGAGACATTTGTCTCATAGATTATCGGCTGATTATTGTTTTGGCCCCCCCAAAATCCGTGGGGCCTGCGACGGTGTTCGAAGAGACACCGTCGGGAGTATTGTCCCCTTTCGGGGTTCCTCCTTGGGGTAATTCTTTGATATTATGATTCATAATCATATTTTTTTTTTGGTTTTAGAATCAGAGTACCGCCCTTTAGTGAAAAGCCCCGCCACCACGGCAAGGTCTACCGAACATATCCAAGATGCCAGTCGTGTCTGGCAGCGAACCCACTTCTCCCAACTCATCAAAGAAATCAATCATGTCTGGCAGCGGACCCACTTCTCCCAGCCCATCAAAGAAATCAATGATGTTCGGCAGTGGATCCACTTCTCCCAGTACATCAAAGAAATCAATGACATTTGGCAGTGGAACAGCTTCTCCCAGCACGTCAAAGACATCGATGATGTTCGGTAGTGGACAACCCGGCGGGGTTAATACATATATTTAATTAATTATTAAAAATTATGGATTTATTGAAGAATGTTAGTTAAAAAAATTGTATTTTAGAAAAGTTACAAATGTTTGCAAAAATTCAATTTTGTTCAAAAATACATAATAATAATTTGCTATTCCGTGAACAGAAAGTGTCGTCTTTTGTTTTTCTATAGTAATTAATGTTTTGATAGAAATTTTGGTTATGAGTATTCCCATATGTGTGATAACCACTTGATGCAAAGAATTTTTTTTTACAAAAATTATCAAGACATGCCTCTATTCAAGTGATGTTAAAAATGGTAAATACATGTAATTTTTTCAAGAATTCTCTATTATTTTGTTAATTCTTATTTTAATGAAATTCTCAAAATTGGTATTGATAAAAAATTTAAATTCTAACATCGAACAATTTTTTTTTTTTACAATATAATTCAATTAGTGAACTGAATTTTATTTGCCACTTTTGTTTGACAAAAATAAATTGATTAAAGACACTTAAATTTTGAAGTTTAAATATTTAGTATGTTTTTTAGATTAAAATAGTGTTTTTCAATTAAATCTTTAGAATTTTTATTTCTTTTGGTAAATTCAGTCTCCTATAAAATGATAATTCAATAAACTTTAAAAAAAATTCCGCATTTTTTACATTTTTTGATACTCTTGCCATTCCGGTTACGCAGAATCGGGTACTTTATTTATTTCAGAAAAAATAATACTTATAAATTCTATTAAACATTTCTTTCCTTCAATTATCAACATTTCAATGTATTCAATATATTTTTCGGATGAATACTAACAATTATTAGGGTAGGCGAACACTATTTAAAAAAAAAGTATTTTCTACACTTTTTTGTCTAAAAAGGCGTTTTTTAATTAAATCTGTTTTCTGAAAAAAGTTTTTATAAAAAGTTATAATTTCTAATGTTTATTTTCCTAAAATTTCTAAAATTCCATAATTTTGATAAAAATTAGAAAATTGTTTAAAAATAAAGATTAAATTTTCTGTTTCTCAATTACAATTCTGTTTACAAAATTATAAGTTTCTTTTTGAAAAAGAAGAAAATTTTTTATAAAATTACTATTTCTTATCACAATTTGTTAACAAAATTCTATTCTTCTTTGAAAAAAAATAATTTGCATCATTTTTACATTTAAATTTCCAAAGTTAATATATTTATAAAAAAATTTTTTAGATAATTTTAAATATCTTTAGGGAAAAAATCCCTATAATTTGTTAATTACGATTTTTAACTAGATTATTTAAAAATTTTGTTAAGTACTTTGCATAATTTCTATTTTTTATTATAATTTTTAACGAAATATCAAGTATTTTTTTAAAGAATTAACAAATTTTCGTAAATTTTATTTTTTAATCATATGTACTTATTGATCGTAATTACAAAAATAGAATATTGTTAGAAAAAAAAAATTTTGAAAATTACATTTATTAGAAAAATAAATTTTTAGAAAATTAGCTTTATTAGAAGACAGAAAATTTTAAAATCACCTTTATTAGAAAAAAGTTTTTTAGAAATTTACCTTTATTAGAAAAAAAATTTTAGAAAATACGATTTAGAAAAACTGTACCCCAACCATTATTAGAAACATAAAAATGAAAATTAAAATATTTGCAGAAATTATCATTTAAATTTTTTGAGTTTAAATTTTATTACATTTATATGAGCTTAAAAAATGTTTGAGGGGTTTCATGAGAAAATTACATGTATAAAAATTACATTTGAAACTTGAGTTGAGTAGAGGCATGTTTTTTCACTTGGTAATTATATTTATTTTAATAACAGAAGCCATTAAAAAATCGCAAAAGGATCCAAGGCAAGAAAAGTAGCAATTTTGATTTTTCGAGGATTTTCTGAAAATCTCGGTATTTAAACTAAATTATAATTTCCACCCCTTGGAAGCAATTTTTTTCGTTTGCTAATTATTTATTTTAATGTTAGAAGTCATTAAAAAATTTTGCAAGAAGATCGAAGGCGGAGAAAGCAGTGATTTTGATTTATTTTATATTTTAGGATTTCTGAAAAATCCGTGACAAAAAATAAAAATCACTGCTTTCCCCGCCTTCGATCTTCTTGCAATTTTTTTAAATGGCTTCTGAGGCGTGGAAATGATAATATAGTTGAAATACCGAGATTTTTTTAAAAATCATAACTATTGTAAACATGCAAGAATATAAATTAAAATTATTAAATTTTTTCTGAATTCTTTAAATCATTCACGCGCGCATCGCGCGCGTAGGACTTTGCTAGTTTAAAATAATTCTATTTAAAATTCCAATTATCTTTAAAAATAATAAAATTCTTTGAAAAAATTTGATTATTTAAAAATTTGTTAATAAAATTCTTTATGAGAATTAAATTTTGTTAAAAATTCATTTATTCAATACATTTTTAATTTTTGTATTTAAATAACTGAATTCTCATAGAATTTTCTAATAAAAATCGTTTTAAAAATGAATTTCGGATAAAAAATTTTAAATAATTAATAATTGTTCATTTATTTCTTTCGAAGAATTTTAATAAAATTTTTTAAATAAATTAATTGAAATCCTAAGGAGAATTTCATTATTTAAGAAAATAATTGAAGTCTTGCAACGATATTTATGACATTTCTTTTAAATAAATGAAATCCTGTGAAGAATTTTATTATTTATGAAAATAATTGAATTCTTTTGAGAAATTTTATTAAAATAGTAGATTTTGAAAATATTTTAATTTCAGCGAAAAATTTTATTATTTGTGAAATTCAATTGAATTCTTGCAAAAAATGTTTGAAAATGATAACATTTTTCGAGGAATTCATTTAAAATTCTATTAAAAATAATGTAAATCCTAGGAAAAATTATATTATTTATGATAATTGAATTCTTACAACGAATTTTATTACATTTTTCTAAATAATTGAATTGGTGTGAAAAATTGTATTACTTATAAAAATAATTGAATTCTTGCGAAAGATTTTATTAAAATTTTTGGAAATATTTTAATTTTTTTTTTTTTTTAAATTTTATAGATATTTAAATTAATATAAAACATGTAGATAGCGATCAAAAGGTTTAAATTTGAGAATCAGAATATTTTTTGGGTCAGGTAAAAAGTAAAAAATTTGCCTGGAAATCAGGGAAAAGTCAGGGTAAAAGAAAATTAATTTTTTGTGGCAACCCTGATTTTGTTTTTTTGTTTATAATGTACCAAATTTTAGAGTTACATAGACTTTTCAAAAAAATATAAATGTTTTTAAATTTCGTCTAAATTGATATATGTTGTCTAATACTCTTATTCATAAATGTCATGTCATGATATTACAAACAACTTTTTTTTATTTACAGGTAAACATTGGGGAAATAATCCCTCAAAATTTCAATGATGATTATTATGAAGACATAATGAAAGAACTATTCGAAACAAAAATCGAAAAGGTTAAGTTCTGTAAAATAGTTAGAATTATTGCTGACAAGTTAATTGACGCGAAAAGAACCTCTACAAGTGACATTCTACAAGCAGCAATTATCTCGAGTAATAGATTTCCAGGTCTTCAAGGAAAGAACGGTATACCTCATGTAAGTTGTATGAAATAGGGGTACACAAAATTCGAAAAAAATTCAAATTTATCTAGACTGATCGAAAATTGAAGCTTCCGTTTACGCTTCATAATTCGAAACTTTGATTCTTTAATTGACTAACTTGGTTTCGATTTTCTTTCGAAATAGTATGACAAATTCAAAAATTAAAGCTTCCGAACAAACCCAATCGATTAGAATTTTTTTCATCGCGTTGATAAATTTTCGATTAAACTTAAACAAATGCACATTTTTGTAAAAATTATTTATTAAACCTGTGTATTAATAGAAATTTTCTAAAATTATTTTCAGAGAAGAATAGAAATACGCTTAAAAACTTGTTTAAAGAATAAAAGAAACCGAACTAAACAAATAATGCATGAAAATAAAGGTAAAAAGACGAATGAAAATTCGAACGATTGTGATGAGCAAACTTTGGAAATAAATTTAGAGATGTTAATAGAGGAATTCGGAAAAACTCCTATCAATGTCAGTAAAATGAAGAAGTTGCTTGAAAAAACTCGAAATCTAAGAACAAGCGAGGCTAAAACTAAAACGGCGAAGCAAATGCTGGAAAAGTATCCAATTTTACAGGAAACTAAATTTGTGAGTAAAAAATTCAGTAATTGTGTATTCTTCATATTCATTGATTTTATCTAAAAAATCCATTTTTTTGTAGCTTCTTTGGGAATTCGGCCAAATAGTCAACTTGTCAGAAAACATAATGAAAAACAATTTGACAAACGCTTTGCCAAAATTGTTAGCAATTCTCCCAAATGTTGATGACGAATCTGTTACCGAAATGATGTTTTTGAAAAAAATTGATTTCTTTTTTCCATCTGCAAAAAAGAAATCTATCCGTAAGAAACGTAAAATCGTTGAAATTCTTAAGGTTTGTAATTATCTATAAATAGAAATAAAGCGTGCTTGGAAATCTAACTTCTATTATAATTGTGTTAAAAAAGATGAGTACATATTTTCTGAAACTTCTTAGCATAAAATTTTATTTCATAAAAATATTTACAGTAACAATTTTTCATTTAACCGCATTTCCAAGTGTAGAATTTTCAAAGCTCCAAATTTTTCTCCAGTAAAATATTAACGTCAAAAACTATAATTTCATAAAATTCAACTGACGAATTGTAAACTTTTAGTTATTTCAATAGATTATTTTCTTTTGAGTTTTAATAATTACTTGAAGTAATTTTTTATCTATAATAGTTTTTTAAAGCAACTTTGTAAAAAATAAAATATTTAAATTGTTTTTATTTTAAATTGTGCTGAATTAGAAAATTATTAATAATTGTCTTTACTTTTTTTTAGGAATCTGATGGCGAGAGTATTTCCGATGTTCCAACAACAGATAAAGCTCCTTACTTAATCATCTTCGATGACAATGATGAGACAGTAAAATGTTACGTGGATGCTGAGCCTCTTTTTGTCGAGAAACCTGTAGATGCTATTCTATTACTTTTAGCAACATACTGGGTTTTTGATATTGATTTCGACAAAGATTTTCATCAACAAACATTATTATTATGCCTAATAGTTTTTGTCGAACATGCTCAACGCATCCTGGGACCATACGGAATTGAATCCATAACCGTAAACAACATTTTGTCAAAAGCTGGCTTATAAAAAGACTACCAAATTTTAGTAATTTTCTTACCGAATATTTTAATATTTGTTACAGGTTTAAAAGTCTTAATATTTTTAAAAATAGAGACAAAATATTTTCTTTGTGTTTTATAATTTGTTAGTTTTATGTGGTAAATATTTATTTTAAAAATGTTTTAAACATTTTTTCAATTTTTTTTTTTTTTTTTGAAGTCTTCAATGTTTTAATATTATATAAGAGAATTTAAATATTGTTTACCAAAAATGTGTCTTCACTTTTCAGTATTATGTATTTCGTAATATTTTAGATTTATGTGGCAAAGTTTTATTTTAAAAATGTTTAAACGTTTTCTAAAACTAAGTATCTTCTTGAAGAATTTTCAATATTTTTATATAATATAAAAAAATTGAAATATTGTTTATCAAAAATGTGTCTTCAATTTTCAGTATTACATATTTTGTAATATTCAGTATTATTTTTTACTACCATATTAAGTTGTATTACATTTATACTTATTTATTACATTGACATAATATCTATATGTGTAAAATGTGTATTAAAAAATTGAAACTGAAATTTAAATTGTTAAATAATACAATTTTTAAACTTCTCATAAAACTATATTTGGAATTATCACTATGAAAAATATACAAATCTGTGTTTTGTTTAATTAACATTCATTAAATTTGTGGTTACTTAAAATATTTATTTTTATCCTACCCACACGGAAAGTGCGTCAATTTCGCTGACGAAAAAGAAAAGATGTGTAATCCTAATCACAATAAACTCCACCTATAACCTCAAAATAAAAGCGAATGTCATATCTCCCAGATAGCACGCAAGCTTGCTGCAAACTTGCAGCAAACTTGCACTGCAAGTTTTGCAAGATTGCTGTGCAAACTTGCTGCAAGCTTGCAGTGCAAGTTTGCAGCAGTCCAGACATTTCAAGCTTGCTGCAAACTTGCAGAAAGCTTGCACTGAAATCTTGCAAAACTTGCAGTGCAAGTTTGCAGCAAGCTTGCGTGCTATCTGGGCTTAGGCTTTTAAGGTCATGATATTAAATATACTTGGTAATTATAATGCAGATAGTCTTGAATTAAAAAAGGACACAATGGTCTACTATAATATAGAATATTTTAATTAATTCGAGTATTTTACACGGTTAACCCTGAAAATCATTCTTATGTTGTTGACATAATTCAAATCTACTGCGTACGTATTTGAGGTTAGCATATTGTACATAATTTTTAACCACATAAATGTTTTACACAACATTAAATGAAATTTTACATTGTAAAAATATTTTGTTTCTTCTTTCCTTTTAAATCAATTTTAATTGTAATAACGTCGTCTCAACTTGATATTAGTTATGCGTATCAAAAGGTTGCAACGTTTTGATACGATTTTGGTATTAATTTGATCACCTTAGATTTACTGTGGCGTTAAATGGGCACACGGAAAAACTGTATACAAGCAAATTTAAAAAATAAAATCATTAAATTAAATTTAAAAACTGTACAAATTTAAAGTCAGTTTAACTGTATTCAGTTAAACTGACCAGTTTAACTGAATACGCAGTTTAAATTAATTTCATTTTTTTATTAAAATTTGCAATTTTTAATATTGTGCAGTTTTCCTGAGGTCAGTTTACCGGTATGCAGTTTAAATTTGTACAGTTTTTAAATTTAATTTAATGATTTTATTTAACAATCTCTCCGAATCATTTTCTCACTTTAAGCTAATATAATATAAAATAATTATTATTATTAAAATAATATAATATATATACAAACCAAATGATAAATTCATCCTATAAATTAATAATTATTAAAATTATTCATTAAGTATAATTTATTAATAATTGTTTATTAATTATTATTTTTTAAATTCATAATTTTTATTTTTAAATAAATGTATAATAATTAATTATTTAATAACTATTATTATTCGTTATTTATAATTTAGTTGTTATTATTAATAAATAAACTTTATCATAATATTGTACTTGAAGAAAAAAAAATTATATGTATTTTCGTTTTTTAAATATATTACCATAATTATTTTATAAAGTGTTTTAAAAGAACACGCTTTTTTAACTTAAATAACTGTTTTAAAAAGTTAATTTTAAAAAATTAAATTTATTTACATGCTTTTAAAACGAGGAAAACTGTCGAGGCCCTGATCAGAGCCCTATTTCGTATCTAGTGGATACCCTACTTAGGGTTTTGGGCAGAATTTCTGGTCAAACCCATGAGATAAAAAAATTCTTAAAAATGTAGTATAATTACTCTGTTTAATTAATTTCTTCAATTGTTTATAATTTTATTATGGGAACTAATTTAAAAAACTTAATTCATTTACACTTTATTCAAACGAGGAAAACTGTCGAGGCCCTGATCAGAGCCCTATTTATATATTTAGTGAACACCTCACTTGGGGTTTTGGCCAGAAATTCTGGTCAAACCCACAAAATAAAAAAATTATTAGAACGATAGTATAATTACTCCCTTTAATTGTATTCTTCAATTGTTCATTATTTTTTATTAAAAGTAATTTTAGAGATTTAATTTTTTTACACTTTATTTAAACAAGGAAAACTGTCAAGGCCCTGATCAGTACCCTATCTAAAATCTAATGAACACCCTACCTGGTGTTCTGGCTAGGAATTCTAGTCAAACCCCTAAAATAAAAAAATTATTAAATAACTAAAATAATGATTGCCTTTCATTGTTAATAGCTTCTACAACAAAAAGGAATTCTAAAAACTTTATTAAAAAAAAAATTTAATAGGGAAAACTGTCGAGGCCCCGATCAGAACCCTGTTTTAAATAGGGCAAAGTGGGGCATTTTCCGCACGGGATATGGACGAAGCCTAATAATAATAATTTGAAAATGGTTTTTTTAGTTTTTTTTAATGATAGTAATAATATAATTGAATATATATATTTTTAAATTTAAATAAATATGTTTAAATTAATTGATTTTAATAAATAATGTTTTTAATAATGTTATTCTTTTCAGTACTTGAGTGACCTGCGATTGTATCCTTGATAAGCCTCCAGTTTTAGATAGTTTTTTTAATTTTCGTTTGTAACAAATAACATGAGAAAAAATCATTCTCAGTGATATTTTATCTAGTGTTTGTTTCACCACCTCTCAGCTAATCTGTAAAATCGTCAATTTGTTTTTAAATTGCAACATTTTATAGGTTTTATAAATTTCGTTTGTAACAAAATAACGACCAAATATTATTCTCAGCATTATTCTATTTGGTAATAGTTTCTAAAATTTCTATTTATTATTATTTTTGCATTTTGTAATTTAAAATTTATTAAGTTTGCTAGTAATAGTAAAAGGGGAATGTTTTTTATTTTCGATTTTCATACACAACTGCAAGAGTGAAAGACATTCAACAGGGGCAGAATAGTAAACGCGTTAAAAACGTTGCCATTCGATTGAAAATTTTCCTAGTTATCAAATTTTTATTTTTAAATTAAAGTAGCGCAGTAATAAAATGTCTTTCTCTGTTAACAAATATTTATTTTTTGCTAAATTATTATTATTTTTTTTTATTTGTATTATTATAGTATTATTAGTATATTCCTTCCATATTCAAGGGGGCGAGCGTAACTGGCGCCACGATCGCATTTTCAATAACTACAAACCCGATTCTCCTTCCCCATCAATAAACATCGCTCCCTACATTACCGACAAAATTATTTGACGTTTAAGGAAATAACGCAGCGGCACACCGCATACACACTTCGAACGTCGTCCGTGTACTATCATCACCCCTCTACTCAGAAAATACAAGAGAGGAGAAAAAAATACAAGTCTCTTGTTTTCCATAATATATAGTGAATGTTTTGAAAAAAAATTGACACTAAAACATTGAATGTTATCGCAAATATATTTAATCAGTGATTCAGTGAATTGAACATAATAGGTGTGTGTGAGTGTCAAGAAAATTTTTCATTGTTAACAGTTTTGTTTTTTGATAATCAGTGCCACATGCTTGTGAGCCTCGGCCCCTCTTTGGCTTCGATATAAAGTCGGATAATAATGAGACATTGGCGGTAAAAGAATAACAATTGGGTATGTTTTTTGTTTTTTACATATACGTGGATAGTTTGTCTTTTTGACTATTTTCAGAATATAGTGTCTCTGTCTACCTGTCTTCTCGTTTCACTTTTTCTCTCCTCCAATCCTCCCTCACGTCGATATTGCGAATTCCCCTGTATCGCGTACACACTCTCCTTTACTCGTCTCTCTCTCGACACGCCAGTGTCATACTCACGAGAGTCTCAGTTTCCGTCTTGTATTCGAAATCATTTTTTTTTTTTTTTTTGGTTTATTGCTTCCATGTGGGGGGGGAATAATTTTTTTTTGTTCAATTCTTCAGGGAGGGAATTTTCCATATTATCGACTGGATTTTAGGGTGAGTGTGTATCTGTGTGTCTGTGAAAAAAAATAAAATTGTAAAGTGATACTCTTTTTGAATTTTACTTTCACTTGTAAGGAGTCAAATAGTGTTTCCGGGTTTAATGTGTAAGTGACACTCTCCGGAAAACGGATATTCTGTCTTCCCCTCATATTTCATGGTGAAAAAGGTTAGAAAGAAATGTATTGAATATCGTGTTTTTATAATTATAAATTTTACTTTTTTATTCTCGGCAATTTTATTTTCTTTTAATCTGTCACGTAATAGACATTTTTATTTAGAACATTTTTCACTGAAAGATAGGTTAGGTATTTATCAGAGATGATTTCCTTCGGTTGTATTACTTTATATACTTCTTGCAAGTTTATAAAGTTGGGTTTGAAATCCTCTTTACGATTATACCGGTTTAAACAGGTTGATCGGGTATTTAGTTTTTAGAGCACTTTTTTCTCGTTTATTTTAAGCTTCCGCTCTTGTCGTGTGTGAAATTCCTGATGATTTTCCTAAGAGTTTTTTTTTGCGCAAGAATCTTCGGGCAACGTTTTTTATTTAATGTAATTATTGCATTATTTATCCTCAAAAATAATTTATAGGTGTCATTAAATTAATTTTTTTAACTCTTCGTTTTGAATTTTATGAATTGATTTTTATTCTTCGTCAATTTTAGTTTTTGATATACAGAATTTAATTTATTTTATAAATATATAATTTATGTTACAAATAATTAATTTATAAATAATTTTTCTATAATTTTGTTTAATTTATGTTATAAATAATTAATTTATAAATAATTTATTTTATAAACAATACAATAATTTATGTTATAAATAATTAATTTATAATTTATAAATAATTTATTCTGTAAATAATTTAATTTTTTAAAGTTTGCATTTAATTGAATTTTCTAATTCATTTAACAATTGTCAAAAATAAATTTAGGCTCGAGTGATAATAATAATGACTAGCAAGGAAACGTTTTAAATACGAATCAAAGCACTTAAAAAATTTTAAAAATTAAATTTTGTTTACTTCATTTAATAGCATTCATTTATATTTCATTTTATTTTAATTAACTATTTTATTATTTTTAATTCTTGACAGAGCTCCAGTGTAAGTGTTTTTTAATTTTTGTTTGTAACAAATAACAAGAGAAAAATAATAATAATAGTAATCATAGTAATGATACATAATAATTTATAATAATACAAAAATAGTTATAATAATAAATAATAATTATTTAATATTTAAATTTAATTTAATATTAATTTTTAGTTGAATAAAAATATTCGCTTTTAAATTTGAAAAAAAAAGAAAATTTCCCGTTTGTTTTTTTATCTTTTTTTTAATTTATAAATAGAGTTATTAGACTATTTATTTTTCTTCCTGTTTTGTATTTTTTTATGTTTGATATTTTTAATTTTTTTTTCATGAATTCATTGTATTTGCAGAAAAGTAAATATTTATTTTGGGAAGTATCTCTTTATGTTTCGTAAGAACGTGTTCCTTGAATCTCATTATGGTTTTATAAATAGATTAGTGAAGCATATATATTTTTTTGACGAAAATTTCGTTCTGTTTTAAATTAAAATTGGAAAAATTAATTTTTTTTTGTTTCATAATTAGTTTTTATTTAAATTCATAATTTGTATTTATAATATTGCAATGACTTCGAAATTTATAATATTGCATAATATGTTTAAGTATGTATTTATAATATTATAATAAATTTAATATTTATAATGTTATAAACTTAATATTTATAATATTGTAGCAATTATTTTAATATTTTTAACATTGTAGTAACTTTAGTATTTTATTGTAATATTATAAAATTAATATTTACAATGTTATAATAATTGTAATTTTTAAGAGTACTTTTTGTACGAAAGGGCAAGTCTCGTTTTTTTAAACAAATAGATAATTATGTACCTAATACATTTAATATTCATAATATTGTAAAATTAATATTAATAGTATTGCAATAACATCGATATTCATATTATTTGCAATAACTTTAATATTTATAATTTTTATCGATATTTTTAAATTTTACATTCGACTTTTGGATAAAAATTAAAATTTTACAATTACTATTCATTACAATTTTTTATTTATTTATTATTATTATGCGGGAAATTTTGATACTAACAATTTTGAGATAATTTCAAATTAATTTTAAAACAATTTTAAACACTTTTTCATTCTTATTTCTTGAATTATTATTTAATTGTTATTATTTATTTAATTAATAATTAAATTTATAATTAAGACATTTATCTCCCGAGGAACAATTTTATTTTCCGTATTTGAGTGATTTCCTATGATTGCATTAGAATTTTGTAAATGTAGTCTTTTAATATTGGCAAGAAAGTAAAGGAAGTGACGTTTAAGAAATTGCATCCATATCTATGTGTAAACGTATATTATGTTTATATATTTATACAAGTTTTCGAAAAGGTGATTCAATTTGACCTTGAATTGTAATCCACTTAAAAATTGCAAGCTTGATCGAGTAATAATAATTATAATTGTTGTAGTAGGTATACGGAAAACGGCAATTTTATCAAAAGACTCTCTCGCCTCTCTTGAATGAAACCTATCATTATAATGATATATAGTGATAAATTACACTAATACAGTAAATGAGAAAATTAACTTTTTATTCCTTTAATTCCTATTTATGTATAATAATAATAATAATCATTTCTTTTTATTAAACAAAAATTTACCGCAAATACTCTACAATTATCACTTATGATATATTGTAAATGTTTTTAAATAAATAATTCCACATTTATTTGAAAATAAGTATTGCTTTGATAGTTTCTTTTTTGTGAAAAAAAATGTTGTTTTGATAAAGTTTCTTTTTCGTGAAAAAATTTTAATTTTGATAAACTTTTTTTGGAAAAAAATGGTTTTTTCTTGGATTCTTAAAAGAAAGCGAAAAAGGAGAGGGGGAAGGTGGCGAGTGGCGTGTGGTTAACCGGAGCGACCGGAGCGAAAGAGACATTGCGGTTTTTCTCTTTCACTCTCGTTGCCCCCACTCCAGTGCTACATTCTTTCTCTACGTTCATACTCCGCAGAATTATTTTGCTGATTATTAATAATAGAATCGGTTATTTTAATTTTTTTATTACTAGGGGCCATCCACATATTACGTCACACTATTTTTGACCCCCCCTCCCCATTTTTTTTAATTGCAATATTTTATAGGTTTTATAAACTTCGTTTGTAACAAAATGAAAACAAAAAATATGTTTGGTTTCGTTCAAAACCATTTAAATTTGAAAATGATTTTAAATTTTAATTTAATTACTTAATTTCATGAAAAAAATTTAATTTTTTTAATTTAAACTGGGAAATTAAAATTTACTTTTGCTTCTCGTTGACTTAGAAGCAGATGATAAGAATGGTTACTAGTCTATATAAATAAATGCAAACAATAAATGGAATAATATAATAAACAAAATATTATAATAATGATAAATTTATTTAGTATTTTAATATTAACGGGCTTATCAAGAAAAACGTTTGCTAATAAAAAATTACCTATAATAATCGTCGTATTCTGTCCATTCTGTCCACACTTGAAGTTAGACTATTGTGCATGCTTTTGTTTTTTTTATATATTCTGATAGATAATATTATACGTCATTATTTTTTCACTAATTTTTTAATTTAATAATATTATTTTTATTTCTCCAATAATTCAAAAATATTTTTATTAATTTAAAAAAATTATTAATGTTATTATATTATTCATTATTTCCTTTGTTTCTAAAAAATAAATCCTGCAAAATATTTTCTTTTTTTTATATGAAAAACTTAATTACTTGACAAAATTTTGACTTCTTCCCTAACCCTAAAGGAAATTCTGATACACTCTAAAAATGATTAGACACTCAAAAAATGTTTTATTACATTCACGCAGAAAAATGGAAAAATGATTTATGCAGTCAGTGTAGTACTCCTTTATAGAATAATATGTGACAGGTACACACTATAGTATTAGAAGTTTCATAGCTGAACAGTTTGGGACTCAACACAAGTTATCCCATTCATCAGCTTAAACAAGACTGTTTATATAGTCTAAGAGGGAATAAGAGTATAAAAAATTGGAATGAGAAATTACTTTCTCATGTAATTGTTAAAAGAACGCGGCAGTGTACAAAACACAAGTCAATAATAGAAGCGAATATTGAACAAATAGTACTCAGTCCAGTTCTTTCGAAAAATGAACGCCGTGCACATAAAGTAGATACCTACTCAAAAACCACAAGTTATTCTCTCTCTCTCTCTCACACACTAATGGTCGTTCACTTATCTCACCGTTTCACTTACTCTTACTACTCTCAACTATTATGCAGTGCAGTTAAGTTCATTAAATTATTAAATATTGCTGTGAGAATAATTAATTATACATTTCATTCAAGGTCAATTCACTATTTTGTACAAAAAAAAAAAGAATAATCAAATTTACCATGAGGACTGTCAAACTTAAAAAAGGTTTCAAGGTTATTAAGAAAAAATTAATGTTTTTTATTTATTTATTATTAAATTCTAATAACCGTATCAAATTTAAACTAGTTGACAATATTATTTATTCAATATTATGAATATTGTTGACATCCATACTTACATTAATTACAAAGTA